GCATATCAAGAGCTCCCTTATCGGTTCTGTTTTCAGTACTGGAGAATAAAAGATATTCTTAGATGTTTTTGTTAGTACATTAACGTTATCTTACACATTTTATCTCAGATAAAGTACAGATTAATTTGAAATAAGTTTATGATGCATGTTCGCTATTCCCAATTCAGAAGAGCGCACACACAGCCTGTGTCTGTGAATGCTTCTCATACTCGCTCCTCTCTGCCCCACGCGGCGCAAATCCTGCGTCACGGATGAGCCGTTCACGCTTGCCGCACTCACGCAGCCTGTCTCGTAATGCTCGTTAATACTCGCACCCGGCTCCGCACCGCAAGCATCTGGCAGTATGGATGAGGCTTGACTCACGCGCGCAGCCTGTGTCGACTCGAGCCTGGCTCTGCGTTTAAAACGAATGTAAATTCAGTCTAACTGCTTGCTAATTTCACTTGGATGAAATGCAACATTCAGCACATTTTCCACTTGTTCTTAAAATCCCAAATACTTAAAATGAATAAATCAGCCTATGTAACATATGTTTTGTTTGGTTTTAATGTAAACTATAATGGTGTCTATTTGATGGATTCTATTGGTGGGATGTAATCTGGCAGATGGCAACCAATAGAGAACAACAGTAATTCCTATTGGAATAATGCCCAAAACAAAAAGGAATTTTGTAATGGTTTAATGGAAACTATAAGAATTTCAGTGATAGTTTCTATTGTTTTTTTCAGCAGGGTAATGATACCCATACTGTGCTGCACATTATTGCCAATATTGAGCTGAAGCTTGACTTTGCAAATTTAAAATCGCAAATCAAATCGCAATCGCGATATCTCTAAAAAAAAATCGCAATTTGATATTTTCCCCCAAATTGCACAGCCCTAATTTGGGCCACATTTGCCTGCAGTGTGAACGTAGCCCTAGTGAGCATGTACAGAAATACCACATACCACTGAAAATATTTGAAACAAGTCAACAAGGCTCTTACTTGGCTGGTGTCACTGCGTTCTCTCCCTCCACAGGTCTTTCATTGCTCTCTCCTTCCATTTTGGTCCCATTCACAAGGTTTGCAGCTGTATTTGTGCTGCATGTTTGTTCTGAACTGGTGTTACCATCCTTCAGAGTCTCTTGCTCTCTTGCATTGCTCCACTCCTCTTTCTGTTTCCTCAGCTCTTCTACTTCCTTCTGCAACTGTTCACATTGAGCTTTCTCCTGCTCCAAGCTGTCCAACTTTGAGTATACAGTTTGTGGGGGGTAAAGAATGAAAGAAAGGAAAAAAGAAAAACAATTGAATCCTGACCGATCAAATAATGGCAGAAAAATCCAGCTTTTGTGGACTAGGAGACTGTTATATCTAAACCAGCAAGGCTTTCATGGTCAGTCAGCTTCACTAGTATAATGGTTAGTTCACCCAAAAATGAAATATCTGTCATTATTTACTCACC